TACACCTTCTTCGATAACGATATAAAAAATGTTCATATATATCGCACGATATAGTCGCGTGCTATGAGTGACGCAGACAGCACACACAAACACGAACATGAGTGCTGTGCCTGCCTGTGATGAGGAGATTGTGAGTAAAGAATGAATATTAGTCGAATTTAAAATAAACATTTGCATTTGACTGATAGAAAAATAGTACAATCCAATGTTAGGAGTGCATCAGGGAGCGTCTTCAGTGGAGCACGAGATGCGGTGATGATGTGAGTGACGTTGTTGTAGTTTAATGTTTTGTTAGTCTAGCCCACGAGACGCGCTGCTGCTGCGTTTTTCATTCAAGATATTAGAGAAATATAGAAGCTCGATGCGGAGAAGATCTTGATTAGGTTCAAACCGAAACCAAGCCATTTACACAGAACACATATTCAGTGTATAGAAAGCCATGCAAAGTTAAAACCATTTAAAAGTTTAGAAAACACGTCACAAATTTGTGGAGGTTTATTCCCTTTCCTGCGTCTCGTATGTTTTTAAAGGCAGTCTGTGTGATGGGCGATTCGGCTCTTTGTATTATGCAATGCATAAATACATGATGCCGTTTTGTTCATAATTGTTTATGCAATTTACATAATTATATTTGATTTATATGAGTTAATTTAGACGTAATGCACGTTTTTTTATAGACGGTTATTTCCTTGCGTTGACAATTTAAATGTGCTGTATTATTTTGCTCTGCGCCCTCCTGTGGTCTCGGGAGACAAGCCAAAAGTTTAACCTATTTAATCTGCATATAAAACATTAGAAATTAGATATTTGTTTAATTTTTATTTTGTGTTTGACTGTTAAAACAAAATAAATATTTGTTTGTCTCAATAAATTGAGTTAATTAAAAAATTCAGTGGTTAAATGTAAAAAAAAAAATTCTATTGCTCTTTGTTTTAAAAAAAGGTTATAAAAAATGTCAATAATTATCGGTACTGAACGATATGAAACATTATATCGTTGATTAATTTTTTAGCTATATCGCCCAGCCCTAAGTGTTGGTTGAAACGGTGTACTCCTGGCAGCATAATTTTACTTCTGCATTGACAAAACGTCACGGAAATCATTCCAGTGCGTTTTATTTTTAAAAATGAAAGCATTTTTCAATTCCCAGCCCTACTGAGTGTTATTGTCATGGTTGAGTGTGTGCAAGTGTGTTTTGTTAGGAATCAAGGTCAGTACTTTGAGCAGATTGGTGACATGGCAGCTCTCTCTCTCACACACACACGCACACACACACACAGGGTGGAGGTGTAATCTGCTGTAATGCAGAGCTGCTGAATCCTGTTTGACATCAGCAGCTCTTAAACCACCGCACACGCTTCAGAACACTGCTAATCTACCCCACAAACACTCAGTCGTTCGGACCTCTCTGGAGCACTTAAAGTGACTGCTCCGTCTTGGCATTCAGTGGGTCAGGTATTTTTGTATAATGATGCTAAACCGACTGTTGTCTCTAGCCAGATTTCCTAGCTGTTCTAGTCTCATGTCTCTCATGTGACAGTTTTTTCTGAGAGTGTAGGAAAACGGATATAAATGTCAAATGTGATGTCTACATTTCTAAAATCCTCTGAGCGAGTCCTAATAGCACTGGATACCCATTTCTCACATACGGGGCTGACCGTCTTCGTGTTTGTTCGTGTTCCTCCAGGGCGACAGAGATGATCTTGGCTCGAGCGCGACAGCTGGCTGACGTTAAGAAGGAAGATGGTTTCTCTGCTCTTCATCTGGCCGCCTTGAACAACCACCGAGATGTAGCTGAGATTCTCCTCAAAGAGGTATGAGAGATTTAGCTCACAATTAACTCCAGAAATACTGTCTGCTTAAAACATGGGCAAAATACATGTACAGTAATACAACTACAATGGAAGGCAAAGTGTGGAAAGTGTGCAGAAAATTACAGAACTGCACAGTTTTGGAAGTATAACAGTAATATCTCAACATTCCTAATAAATTGAATGAAGTGATCTAATAAATCACTTACCAATCCTTTCTATGTAAGGTTATATTCGGACTCTTGTCCTCACCATCAAAAATAGGAAGGGATGTTACATGACTATTCATAAAGCACTGGTCACATGGAGCAAACTCTACTACATGAATTATATGTCAGGATAGAAAAGTAGTCATACTTAAAGGATAATTTAAACAATTTGAGTCATTGGTGGATTTTAGCTGAGAATAACAAAATATGTCTGCTTTTTAACCCCCAGTGCTCCTGCTCAATTAACTCTGTGTATACACACAAACACCCTTTTTATTAAAGATCTTGTTTTTGTGTTAATGCCATAGGTGTGTTTTCAGGCTTGTTAAGTCACTGTTATGTGATGACCTGAGTCTTATAATAGCTTTATTTATGACTTAAACAACAGTCACACCCTCACTTTTTGTCCTGTGTGCTGCTTGTATTTAGTGTGTGTAATACAGTATTTGATGAACTGAGTGTGCTGCCATCTGGTGGGTGGTGGGCTTATATGTGTTTATTACTTTGGGAGTGTTTTGTAGGTATTTAAAGCAGAGAAAGGAAGTTTTTAACCATTTATAATACTGTGCTTTTTCTCTATTTCAGAATGTAGATGATAATTTAAACATGCAGTCAAACTGCAATAACACAAGTCGAAATCATCAATTGGCACAATTTATTCTTTCTTGCCCACCAAAATATAAACAGAAGCCTTTAAATAAAAGAACATTTAAGCTCAATTCAGTGTGTCCAACGTTTGACCGCCGGTGTATTTGTAACCTCCGTAATTCTGCCCTCTTTGGCTTTAAGGGTCGTTGTGACATCAACATCCGCAACAATCGCAATCAGACGCCGCTGCAGCTGGCTGTGACTCAGGGTCACGTGGCTCTAGTGGCCCTGCTGGTGACGGAGGGGGCAGACGTAAACGCAGAGGATGAGGATGGAGACACAGCCATGCACACGGCTCTCAGCCGCCAGCAGCTGGCCACCGTCATGAGCAGCGGCGAGGGCGAAGGAGCGCTGCTCTACAGCAGGGTAAGAGCAGGACAGTGACGTAGATACTAGCGCACTGCACACTGAATGGAATATGGATGCCTGCTTTAAACATGTACTTTTAAAACTATGATTATCTAAACCAGGGGCGCTGCTAAGGGGGAAAGTTTGGATGATTCTAAGGTCCCACACACTTTTGGGGCCCCCCAGAGATCTGTTTTATTAGCAGTAACAGTACTAGTAGTAATGCAAAAGAAATTATAAATGTATCTACCAAAGAGTTACAAATAAAACAAAATTACATTCTCTGCGTGGTTCCGTCCCGTCCTACGTAGCCTACGTAGAGTCACTGAGTGAGATCAGATGGTGAACTATAAGTCAGGTCATCAAGAGATCTAAATATTTGTGGATTGGAAACAAATGGTGTTTGTTGCAATGCTATGGATGTTTTGCCCGACAGGTCTTCGAGCCAGTCACGTGACTGAAAACTATGAATTGTAGCCTCTAAATTTGATAATGCTCAACACCATTGGTTCGAAGCGCTGACAATGCTTTGTAAAGCCTTTTTTATCATGCCAGTAAAGCTATTTGGAATCTCAATTTACCAGTTGCTGATTGCGATGCAGATTTTTTCGAATAGGATGCACATCTCGACCACAGAACGTCTCTGTTCATGGTAAATGTTGCCAATATTTATTCTGATGACTTTAGTGTGACTGATCACGCTGTAGCTAGTATGAGTAGCCTAACAAAATGCTTTCTCTTTCTAGATTTGACTACAATAATAATAACTGACACTTCAAATCAACATTTAAATTTCAACTTTTAGTAAATGGTAGTCTTTAATCATGTCTGAAAATATATCAATGAATAACCTGATACAAGTAACGTTTAATATTTAGTAAAATCCCCTTAAAATAATACAAATATTAAAGAAAAATAAATATTATTGAGCTAAAATCACAAAAGCACAAATATATATTCGTTCTCATATAACTCTGCCTTCATTAATGTGTATGTTCATCTATAAGTGTTTGGGCTGTTTAATATTAGGATTTTGTTTAAAATCCCCCACCGCGGCCCCGCCCCGCAGTACCCTCAGATAAAATATGTTCCCACGGCTATGGGTTGGTCTCTGACTAAATACTGATACCTGGTGATCAAAAGCAATAGCAAAAGTAATAGGTTAGTATTATTAAATTGCAGACAAAAATTTTGGATAACTGTGTTTCTTTCATTGGGCCCAAAATTGCTAGCAGTGCCCCTGATCTAAACAAATAGTAAAAGACAAAAAAAGGTTTCAACATGGGTTTGTTTGAAGAAAGTAAACAGTCAGTAATAAGTCCAAAGAAACAAATGACAAGCAATATGATAGATGAATACAATAAACAAAGGTACAAATGAAACAATGTTTGAAATAGGTCTATTGAATTGAATAAATTACTCCGTGAACTATAAGTCAGGTCATCAAGAGATCTAAATATTTGTGGATTGGAAACAAATGGTGTTTGTTGCAATGCTATGGATGTTTTGCCCGACAGGTCTTCGAGCCAGTCACGTGACTGAAAACTATGAATTGTAGCCTCTAAATTTGATAATGCTCAACACCATTGGTTCGAAGCGCTGACAATGCTTTGTAAAGCCTTTTTTATCATGCCAGTAAAGCTATTTGGAATCTCAATTTACCAGTTGCTGATTGCGATGCAGATTTTTTCGAATAGGATGCACATCTCGACCACAGAACGTCTCTGTTCATGGTAAATGTTGCCAATATTTATTCTGATGACTTTAGTGTGACTGATCACGCTGTAGCTAGTATGAGTAGCCTAACAAAATGCTTTCTCTTTCTAGATTTGACTACAATAATAATAACTGACACTTCAAATCAACATTTAAATTTCAACTTTTAGTAAATGGTAGTCTTTAATCATGTCTGAAAATATATCAATGAATAACCTGATACAAGTAACGTTTAATATTTAGTAAAATCCCCTTAAAATAATACAAATATTAAAGAAAAATAAATATTATTGAGCTAAAATCACAAAAGCACAAATATATATTCGTTCTCATATAACTCTGCCTTCATTAATGTGTATGTTCATCTATAAGTGTTTGGGCTGTTTAATATTAGGATTTTGTTTAAAATCCCCCACCGCGGCCCCGCCCCGCAGTACCCTCAGATAAAATATGTTCCCACGGCTATGGGTTGGTCTCTGACTAAATACTGATACCTGGTGATCAAAAGCAATAGCAAAAGTAATAGGTTAGTATTATTAAATTGCAGACAAAAATTTTGGATAACTGTGTTTCTTTCATTGGGCCCAAAATTGCTAGCAGTGCCCCTGATCTAAACAAATAGTAAAAGACAAAAAAAAGGTTTCAACATGGGTTTGTTTGAAGAAAGTAAACAGTCAGTAATAAGTCCAAAGAAACAAATGACAAGCAATATCATAGATGAATACAATAAACAAAGGTACAAATGAAACAATGTTTTAAATAGGTCTATTGAATTGAATAAATTACTCCCATTCAAGAAACAGGCTCTGTTGGTAAGTGAGCCTCAGTTTCAGTTTGCTGGAGGCTTTGTCTCAACGGCGTTTTGAGCCCCTGCTGGAATATTTCCTTAAGCTTCTGTCTTTTGAGACAGCCTTGCTTCTGGCCACGGCTTCAGTCAAAACACGTCTCTCTGTTCATTCCTTGTGCACTAAATTCTCTCTCAGCGGAGATATGATTTTTCTTAGGCCCAGCCTGGCCTTTATGCCTAAATGCTTCCCAGTGTGCACATATGAGGTCATCGAGCTTTCGTCTTTTCACCCATCCCTTTTATACTCTGCAGAGGATCAGAGGTTGAATGCTCCATGTCCTGTGCATGCGTCTGGACCACTCCAACACACAATATATATTTTGTTAGCTAGATTTCACAAATACTTTGTAACACCCCAGGACGCCGAACAAGACCCTGGTTTCATGGTAAAGTCAATAATCATGCAGATTTATGTTACAAACTTATAGAATTGTACAGTAAGAAAGTTATTTCCTTTAACCAGGAAATTAACGTTCTTAGAATTGACAAGACGGTTGACCCTGAGTGGTCAGCTAAATATCTACAGTGGATCTAAAATATGAATAGTTAATTATAACTAGTTATGGTTAATTATTCATATTTCCTGTCGTTGAGCTAAATTCGCTACACATGGATAGCTCTTGAATTGTTGGCAATGCCTCTTTCATTGGCATATGAATCTAAGTGAGTCCAGCCCCCAGGGGCCCTTTAGAGCACACTCTACTAGGGGCATGGCTGCTTCTTGGGCTCTGTTTAGAGGAGTTTCATTGCAGGAAATTGCAAGTTGGGTTTGTCAGATACTACTGGCTTGATGATACCAGGACTCTGTTAGCTCATTCTGTACTCTACTCCTCCCCAAACCTGGGCTTGCCTGGCACCAGTTTCATTACTGTGTGAGTTGCCAGGTTTAATGATGTAAAGGTATTACTACATGCCATTGATACTGTATCTCCACCCATAGAGCACCTTTGGGATGTGTTAAGCATTGCCTTTGCAGGTGACTGAGCCCTGGCTTTCAGGGTCTCTCTGTGAATGTATGTCGAACACGAGATGATAAAAGCAATACACAACAATAGGTTACTGTTTGTAACACGGTTCTCTAAAACAGAGTGGAGAGATCCACCAAAATTGCCCCACTTGCTGCACGAGAATCGAGCATGCTGACTGAAAAGGTAGCTTGTGCAGGTCCTTTTATGTGCTCAGATAAGTGATGGACCCTTTCCTGGCATTGGATGCTTGTGCAGAGGTCAGGTATGAATGCCCTTCCCATAGGTGGATATTTTAGCTTTCCACAGTGTGATTCTGATCAAATTAGGGGTGTGTTATATATATAATCTACGATAATATCATAATTGTCGTTTTAACAATGTGCAAATTTGACATTATCGAGTAAATAGCAAAACCCAAACGCATACATTACGTGGTGAAGTCTAGTAGGTTAAACTAGTGCGCGTGCGCATTTACAGTGTATTCTTTCACTGCATGATTCAGTCTTTTAAAATACATTTAGAATGATCACAAAATTCAAGATATAGGGGCAGGAAATCTTTACATTTATATAATTTCATATAGTTAATATCACACGAAGAATGCCTTTTTTTTTCTTCAAAAATCAGCATGATTACAAATGTGATATTGATTTTATACAGCAGTTCAATACCAGGAAGTTAATATTAAGAGACTTATGTTTTAGACACTATATTGCCTGTTTCCTGAATGAATCACAGTTTATATGATTCGGTTCATCACAATGACTCACTTATTAACAGTGACTTGCTGCCACCTACTGGCGGTTTTAATTTCACATTTAAAGTATCTTTTCATGTTTTGAATAATTTCAAATATAAGTATTCAATGTTTTATGTTTAAAATATCAAGTGATGGACCCTTTCCTGGCATTGGATGCTTGTGCAGAGGTCAGGTATGAATGCCCTTCCCATAGGTGGATATTTTAGCTTTCCACAGTGTGATTCTGATCAAATTAGGGGTGTGTTATATATATAATCTACGATAATATCATAATTGTCGTTTTAACAATGTGCAAATTTGACATTATCGAGTAAATAGCAAAACCCAAACGCATACATTACGTGGTGAAGTCTAGTAGGTTAAACTAGTGCGCGTGCGCATTTACAGTGTATTCTTTCACTGCATGATTCAGTCTTTTAAAATACATTTAGAATGATCACAAAATTCAAGATATAGGGGCAGGAAATCTTTACATTTATATAATTTCATATAGTTAATATCACACGAAGAATGCCTTTTTTTTTCTTCAAAAATCAGCATGATTACAAATGTGATATTGATTTTATACAGCAGTTCAATACCAGGAAGTTAATATTAAGAGACTTATGTTTTAGACACTATATTGCCTGTTTCCTGAATGAATCACAGTTTATATGATTCGGTTCATCACAATGACTCACTTATTAACAGTGACTTGCTGCCACCTACTGGCGGTTTTAATTTCACATTTAAAGTATCTTTTCATGTTTTGAATAATTTCAAATATAAGTATTCAATGTTTTATGTTTAAAATATCAAAACATTATTTATGCATTTGTAACTGCAGGTTAAAGCATTCCATGTGCCTCTGAGCTGCATCAAAC